TACATCCGCTCTCACCAGGAGAGGGGCTCTGCGAGTCGGTGCGCGAGTCTCTAGAGGGGTTTGGATCCCGGTGGTCGGTGTGTGTGGTTGAGGAGGCGGAGCCGAAGCCGAGGCTGTTTGTGGAGTTCAGGATGCGGGACGGGACGGAGGCCAGTCAAAGTTCTCCGTCTGTGGAAAAGTTCTGGTGGAATAAATTACATCCAAAGTTGTTGAAGCCGATCCTCCCACTCACATCCAGGAAGCATCAGACTTATGGATGAACTCTGAATGGAACACGTCCATGAATCCAGCGTCTGCTCGCTGCAGGTTTCAGGGGGAAGAAACTTTTTAATTAGAGTTCACGATGTCGTCTGTTTATACTCGACATGATTCACGCTAAGTGTTGGAGCTATTTCATTGTTGTTACAAAGAGTTTTGGTATTTAGTTTACTGATATTTGGGTGGTGGTGTTTATTTAATTATTCTACACATTTTCTTTATTTAGAATAGATTTTGGGTAATATTTTCTTTTGCTAGTTATTTGTTTAGTACATTTTATTTTGTATTAGTATTTTTTTTGTTAGGTATTTGGGTAACACTGTGGGCACCAGAGGCAGGTAGAGGACCAGCATGCACCTGGGTGGGCCTATGAGAGGCAGCAGGAACCTCGATTTTCTTTGTTCTTTTGTTTGCTTTCTTTTGAACCAAAATAACGCAGATCTCTTGCATGGACGTTGGACTTCTTTTGCCTGCGTACATCACATCCCCATGGTGCATCAGTGCTCATTTGATTCTGTTTGATATTAGTTTATTTCGATTTTTTTTTTTTGGACAAATAGCCACTACACTAAGTTTGAATAAATCAGCAGATTCTGATCATGTGGACGGCTTCCAGAGGTTTAGAATTCATCCATTATGATTCAACTCTTTGTGTCGTCAAGCTGTGACAAAATAATCTTCATAATTTACAGATTTCAAAGTGACGTCTTTAAATGAATTAGTCTTTGCTCAGCTGGTCCATCCCTCCATTTTCTTCCTCTTATTCGAGGTCGGGTCGCGTTGGAAGAAGGCGCAGTAAGTCAACCCAGACGTCCCTCTCCCCAGTAAAGATTTCCAGCTCCTGGAGGATTCTGAGACGTTCCCAGGCCATACGGGACATAATCCCTCTGGTTCTACCCCGGTTCTCCTCCCAGATGGGCGTGCCAACCTCCAAAAGGAGGCGTCCAGGAGGATCCTGATCAGATACCTGAACCACCTCAACTGAGGTGTTTAAGCTCCTCCCCCTCTCTCCAAGTCTGAGCCCAGATGACCTCCAGAGGAAACTCATTTCAGACGCTTGTAGCCGCCATCTCATTCTTTCAGCTGGTTTAAAAACTCTTTATTTACTTCTTTTACCGACATCAAGGACAGAAACAAGCTGGAGGGCAGAAACAAGCAGGAACAAGCAGAAACAAGCAGAAACAACAGCTGTCCACTTGAGTGTGGACCAAGTGGAGAGGTGTCAGGGCAGTTCCCGAGTACTGCTGCGGCATCCCTGAGCAGGGCAACAGCTCTGCCGTTATCCAGAGTCCACCCAGTCTGAGAAAAATGATTTAGATTCTGAGGTCAAGACTGATTTTGAATACTACAAGACTGTTATGTATAAACTTTATTTCAGACGCTGAGAAATATAAATACAGGACGTCAACAAGTCGTGAGAGACTTTTGAAACACGAGGACGACCCTGTGTCTCGCAGCGCGGGCTGAGTGACAGACGTCATGAATCAATTCATCCACACAAGAACGTAAACATCAAACGTCTCAGCACAGCAGGAGACGGAATCAGTAACAAACTTTTGACTTTCACCGTGATGTAAAAAACAACACGGACACAGAAAAAGAAAAACTAACTAAGTTAGAGACGTCTGAGATCTGACGGACGAGGAGAAAATAAATCCTTCAGGAACTGAGATGTGAAGAGTGTTTCAGAGGCGTTAACCATTTCTCCTCTCCTTCAATGAAATGAGTCTCACTCTAAACAACCATCAGAACATTTAGGCCATTTACCTTCTGCAGTTTGGAGGAACATGGACTCATTTTATAACAAGCTGTGTCCTTCTTTTTCTTCTTTAATTCCTCTACATTTATCAGGATCAGCGAGTTTCGACCCCTCACTCGGGGGTCTGCGTCTGATTTGGGGGTGGGGGGGGGCACATACCTCACCTCGTGTCTCAGTTTATTGTGCAAACTGGAGACACAGTGTTACAAGTTGTGTTTCAAACGTTTATTTATTTATTTTACAGGGACATTTCATATTAATAAACATTTCAGTAAATATTCCAGAGTTAGCCAAAAGGCTCATTTTCATCTGTTGTCTCTGGACAGATTTTATAAAAGGCTCCCTAAAAAAAACAAATTCAAACATCGCTAAAAGCTACAAATAGAAATATCATGACAGTAATGAAGCAGCCAGGTGAGCAGCCACAGGAGAAAATACATAAACATGCAGGATACACATCAAGCAGCGGTTAATATAAAACATGTATCTCATGCAGGACAGACGTGGAGCAGCATGTTGGACAGACAGCGCTCCGTTTGTGGATATTTGATGATGGATGGTTTAAAGTCGAGCTGCAGATGAAACACTGACGGCTCTGAAACTCTTTAGATTAAATTTAAACTTCCCAGAGATGAGGGGGGGGGGGGGGATAAAAAGTTAAAATCCTGTCATATTGTGTTTCAAAGTGCGAGCTGCTGACTGCTGTAAAAGTTTGACCTCCTGCTGCTGAATCAGAGCTCCGTGTCGGAGCGTGGATTTGTCTCCTGAAGCGTTCGCCTTTGGTCCTCCTCTCTTTTCCTCGCTGCTCTGAAAGCGGTGACCTTTGAACTCCTGTGACGACCGAGTGAATCCTCGTCTCCTCTCTGCATGTCGGGCTGTTTGTACTGTTTGTACAGACGGAGTCAGAGTCGTTTTTCTGGTCTCTGTCTCCCCCTGCCTGTCAGTCTCAGAGACACACTCTCAGGCTGAGTGACGTCTTCACCTCTTCCACTCTCTCTCCCGCTTATCGGGGGGTCGGGCTTTTATTCTGTCTGCAGCTTCATGCTCACCCCTGAGTCTTATAAAATAAAATAAATAAAAAATAAAACACATGTGCAGGTGAGGTAGAAACCCAAAAACTCACCTTAAGAGATTAAACAAAGTTAAAATAAAATACAGTAAAAATAAAAAAGTAAGAACTATTTACTATCACAAATAAAATTTACCCGATTGAAAATTACATACAAACATTGAAAACATAAAAATAGAGCAAAACAGGACACACAGTATGTAGACAATATAACAAAATCAGGACAATTCACTACAAATCTTTCTGAGTCTCAATTTGTATTTTAGAAAAAGACAAAAAGTCATTAAGTAAATAAATGCGTGTTCCATTATTTGACTCGGACAAAATATCTCATAGCTGGTTTAAAAACAGATTTTTACAAAGTGCTGACGGACAAAACAAAGACAGGAAGTCAGGACGATAACAGAATAAACATCACCAGTCCAGACGAGAGAGGAATGAAATAAATAACCTGAAGGATAAAAGAGATGAATAAAAGCATTCAAAGGAGCAAGTTTTTATTTGAGTTTTTCAATTTTGAGAGGAAACAAACAATAAGAACAATACTGAAAATAATCTAAACAAAAAAAAAACAAGTAACAGATGCTGCAAATAATGTAAACAAAGACATCAGAAATATCACAGAGAAAAACAAAAATATTTGTATACATAAAGTATTCGCCCAAAAATAGTGAAACTGTAAATTAGTTTTAATTAATTAATTAAAGAGTAGCACAGACAGGTTTGAGTTCCACGGTGTGTTGCAGTGCGTCTGCTTAGGAGCGAGTTTAAGAAGTGATTTAAAGGATGTTACTGACTCTGCTCGCCTCATCTCCTCTGGCAGGTCGTTCTGAGCCTCGACTTTAGAACGACCAGAAGGGCTCTGCCTGAGGATCTGAGGTCACTAGATGGTTCATGGGGGTCAACATTTCAGCAAGGCAAGACCAAGACGAGCTTTAAAAGAGAATCTTAAAATCAGTTGTTAAAGTGAGCGGTGGAGGGAGGCGAGGACTCGAGGGATGGGATGCCGAGCTGCTGCGTTTTGGACCAGGTGGAGGGGGGGGGTTTAAGGGGGATACCTGAGAGGAGACCAACCAGGGTCACTGTGTGTGTGTGTGATGGTATGACATTTCTCTTCTTGCCCCCAAGTGAAGGAGTTTAAGTATCTCGGGGTCTTCACAGGGAGGGTCAGATGGAGCGTGAGATTGACAGACAGATTGACTCACCTGGTGGTCTTTGTTCCAACCCTCACCTGGGGTCATGAGCTTTAGGTAGAGACTGAGAGAATAAGATAGCAGATACAAGCGTCTGAAATGAGTTTCCTCTGGAGGGTGTCTGGACTCAGACTTAGAGAGAGGGGGAGGAGCTTAGACATTCAGGAGGAGCTCGGAGTAGAGCCGCTACTCCTTCACATTGAAAGGAGTCAGTTGAGGAGGTTTTGAGCATCTGATCAGGATCCTCCTGGACGCCTCCCTTTGGAGGTTTTCAATGCACGCCCAACTGGGAGGAGACCATGAGGTAGACCCAGAGTTCACTGGAGGGATTATATATCCCATCTAGTCTGGGAACGCCTCAGAATCCCTCCAGGAGGAGGAGCTGGAAAACTTAACTAGGGAGAGGGACGTCTGGGTTGACTTTCTGCGCCTGTTGCCAACGCGACCCGAACTTGAATAGGCGGGAGATAAATGGATGGATGGATGGATGGATGGACGTTTGTCTTCTTACAGTAACGACCTGTGATGTCATCATCACATCATATTTTCAGTTTGAAGTGATTTGATAAAAAGTGACACAAACATCAGATAAGTTCAACAGAGAGTCAAAGATGTGAGTGAATATGAGAAGTAGAGAGTTTGTTGTTTGATGTTCTGTGTGTTTTAAAGTCGTCTACCTGGACGCCCTCTGACCTCATGATGTCACTCTGTGTGTGTTCAGGACCCCGTGGACGCCGGGCGCTGTGTGATGGTGGTGCGCTCTCTGGTCCCCGGCAGTCCGGCCGAGCGTCACGGGGGTCTACTTCCTGGAGACCAGCTGGTGTCAGTGAACCAGACTCAGGTGGACCTGCTGACCCTGAACGAGGCCGTCGAGGTCCTGAAGGCCGCCCCATCTGGAACCGTGCGGCTCGGCATCCGGAAACCTCTGGTGGTGCGTCGACGGGAAAGTTTTATATCTCAGAGAGACGGTTTTTATTCTGCTTCATGTCGGTCTGAACTCAGTGTGTGTGTGTGTGTGTGTGTGTGTGTGTGTGTGTGTGTGTGTGTGTGTGTGTGTGTGTGTGTGTGTGTGTGTGTGTGGTGTGTGTGTGTGTGTGTGTGTGTGTGTGTGTGTGTGTGTGTGTGTGTGTGTGTGTGTGTGTGTGTGTGTGTGTGTGTGTGTCTGTGTCTGTGTCTGTGTGTGTGTGTGTGTGTGTGTGTGTGTGTGTGTGTGTCTGTGTCTGTGTCTGTGTCTGTGTCTGTGTCTGTGTCTCTGTTCTGTGTGTGTGTCTGTGTGTCTGTGTGTCTGTGTGTCTGTGTCTGTGTGTGTCTGTGTGTCTGTGTGTCTGTGTCTGTGTGTGTGTGTGTGTCTGTGTGTGTGTGTGTGTGTGTCTGTGTGTGTGTGTGTGTCTGTGTGTGTGTGTGTGTGTGTCTGTGTGTCTGTAGGTGGACGGAGTGGACAGGAGGACAGAGGACTGCAGCCAGGAGTCCCCAAGCAACACACACCTGCCCGTACCAAAGGTAACACACACACACTGTCCCCCCCCCCTCACTCAGGTCACCATGTGGTGGACTCTGAAGCTTCAGTGTTTATCCAGCTCTGCATGGGTCTGTAAACCTTTCTGTGTTCTAACCTCTCTCCATTTTTCAAAAGCATCTCCAATATTGATCCTAGTTTGAGCACGTTTCTGCTCGTGGAGCTTATTAGAAACATGCAGAGGCTTTTTAGGTCGGGTACAATCACTTCTATCTGAACCACTTCTCTTGACCGCTTCCATCGCTGCAACACCTGTTGACCTGATAACTGCTCTGACAAACCGAGGGGCGTCCAAAACGGCCGTGTGGGGGGTGTCTTAAAAGCGCCTACCTTCTCTGGTCCAAACAAATCCAGAGCATTCAGGAGCAGAATCTAAAGTTAGAAGGAGGACATACTGGCTGCTGCATTGTTGTCAGAGAAGCCAGCACTTCAACATAGCATGTTTCCTTAATGATCAGAGAGTAAGATACCTTTATCATCTTGTTTTCTGCTGGATCTTCAACCTGTTCACCATCTTTAAACTCTCTCCGTCTCTCTGAGTCAGTCCAGACTAATTGGACCATTAAGAATTTCTTCTCTTTCACTTTATTCTCTCCCTCTCTGACTCACCCTCCAACATTTAATTCTCTTCTCTCTCTCTCTCTCTATCTCGCCCCTCTTCAGTCATCTCAGCTGTTGGATGAATTAAATATATGTAACATGACAGGAATAGACTCAAGATGAACACAAAGATTCTGATCATTAGATCTCATCTTCAGAGTGAACTTCTTCTCCAAGTTGGTTGGAACGTCATCCCAGGAAAGTTTAACCTCATGGAAAAGAAAGAGGATAAGAGTGAAGATGTCAGAGATCATTACTGAGCATGAAATAGATAAATGTTTTCAAATAAATTATCCAGCCGAGTGCAAAGCGGTCGGGATGCGGGTCAGCACCTCCAAGTCTGAGGCCATGGTTCTCTGATGGAAAACGGTGAAAGTTACGAAGACCACAGTGGAAAGAGAAATAAATCTTCCAGAAATGAAGGAGATCTGAGGCTTCTTATTTCACAAGACGCTCAGGAGTGAAGCCAAGAGAAGCGCCTC